TACAATAGAATTAATATTTATTCTGGTCGTATATCTATGTAAATAAGTAAAATGTAGTCATTGGCTGTGCAAATGATATGAAAAAAGTCAGTCATGCTCTTAACCGATCTCACTATCTAAGCCTGACATTTTTCTTTTTTTGCTGCCCTTCTTTTAAAGTAATCGGGACTTCTGCATCCATGATGTGAACGTGGTCTGGGCCCTGCCCTTGCTGTCGCAGGAGGCTGGCTGGCTGCAGGCCGGCTGGGCAAACTTGCTGCTGCTTTAAACTAATTAGCTCTGGTGGTTCAGAGCCCTGGCAGCCCCGAGCTCAGCATGGGGTACATGTGTGACTACTATCCAGCTTTCAAGACTACTTATTGAGCTTGCATTTAGCCATTAGCTCTGCTGTGGAGCCCGAGCTACTTGATTTAAAGCTAGCTTTATGTATTTGCTTGCATAAGTGAACAAGTTATACTTCCCCTGAGGTTTGGTGTTGGGATGTGAAGTGTGCAACTTTGGGTGAATGCTTACCCAGTCTCATTGGTCTCACTCTACCCTGGCCAAACCACTATATGTATTTCTGATGAATTTATTTATATTTTTATATCACCCATTTTACCTAATTGCTAAGGATTTCACACCAAAAATAATGAAACCTCAGAGGAGATACTTAAGAGCCTTCATCACCATGAGTATGCTGATTGTTTTTCATGATTGCATTTCCTCCTCTGTATCCTTGTTTCACACTGAAGATTTTGCTGCATTTTGCTATCTGGTTCTCTATGCACTTCTGACTACAGTCAGAAATAGCAGATAATGCAAAATACAGTGGTCTGATCATAGGTGTATAAAGCACAGTGCTCCGGTGGTATTATGGACTCAGTACTGAATGATACTTCATGCTGTCAAACTAGTCTCAAAGACTTGGTACAATTGGGGTTCTAACTGTTGCAATGTGCTTCCTGTCTGATCAGATGCCTTTACTGTAGCGGATCTCTGGATCTGAGCGTTGATTGTTGAAGGGAAGACCCTGTCAGTGAAAGATCCTCATTATGTTCCCTCCTAGGTGCTGCAGACCTTAAACTTATCAATCAGCAGGACAGGATTAAAAAAACATAATATTAATCAGATTTTTAAAGCCAGAGGTTAATCGGCAGAAAGGGAATGGAATTAATTATATTTAAGATGTTTCCTGATATTCTTTGTAACTTTTTATTGTGAAGTATTTTGTAGCAACACACCTATTGACAATGTATATTACCATGTATAATTTTTAATAGTTGCAAATCAGCAATCTTAAGCACAAAGTGAATGTTTTTTAGCAAGTTTAAAGTCAGTTTAAAAGTTTAAAGATATATGCTTAACAAAATAGTGACTTGTTTTAATTATTATTAAATTGAATTAATACTAAGAAGAATCTGAAACCAAGCATGACCTTTTGCTTTAGGGTCTATGAGGAAATTCTGTTTGTGCTACTGCTGGGTTGCCTAGTCTAGTCTGACACAATTAAGAGTTTTATTCTTTTTTTTTTTTAATATATTTTAAAAGTTATTTTGAAGGTGCTCAAGGCATCAAATGAAAACTCTGTTATTTAATGTGTAAAACTAAAAGTATACAAAAACCAGTTTTTATCTGATCTACTTGACAGTGTCCCCTTAATATGTTGTCAAAAATCCTGTTAAAAATGTGATCTCTTGTTTCTGCTGTTCCTTCAAACCTAGGACTTTTATCAGTATTGATACTCCTGGCGTGACTTTGTGTTGTATAAAGCTAAGGTTCTGAAGACAGCCATCCAGCTCTGAAATATATAAAACTTGGATAAGTGGCAGATATGATGCTTAGTGTGTGCCACATTTATTGACAGTGAGATTGGAACATACATAACTTTGAAGGATGAGATGGAAAGTTTTCAACAGAGCATTACAAGGACTAAAATATTTATATATAAAGAAAACCCCAAAACATATTTTTGTATGTAATTCTGTATGCCTGTATATGCCCTAGGATTTGTGATTTCCTCTTTGGCATTTCTCAGTTGTTAACTTTTTCACAATGCAAGTTAAAAGGAAAGGCTTTTTTCTATCCATGTTGTTCTTCACATACGCTAAAATCTGTTAGCATGGTCAGTACATTATAAAATGTATCTATGAAATCTAAGACATCAGCACATACCATATATACAGCTTCATGATAGCCAACTGTTACTTAAACTTGTAATGATTTTCAATGTCATTTTGTATCAGATTTTTGTAAGAAAAAAGGAAAGATGGCTAGTAAGTGAATTGATCTTGGGTCATTGCAGTGGTGAAAACAACTTATTTGCATGATGTTTATTTGCTGTGACTTGTCCATTCCTCCCTTTTCCAAAAACCATCTTTATTTTCTCTTAGTTTTTTTATTTATTTGTATGCTTTTGCTTTACATACTATTTGAACAATATTTGTCCGTACTGATGGAAAAGGTTTCCTAAATGTTTAAAGTATTTTAGCAGTACTGAAACAGAATGCGAATATGTTATTTAAGAGCCTTATATTGTAGTATGTCTAGGAAAGTTATTTTTTTCTGTAGGTGAAATTAGCCTTTCTTTGGAGGACCTTTCTTTGGTTCCCATTGTTGTAGGGGAAGAAGGGTAGCACGCCTTGGAATTTTGTTGATTATCTGCTTGATAGTAGTTGTTTATCTTTTATAAATAGCTATCATTATTTAAAAGGCAAGAAGTAAATTTCTTTTAAGCAAGAGAAGTAGGGGAATATGAATGAATACTGTGAGAGTAGCTTCCCTTGCTTAGCTGGCAACGACTAACATTTTTAGGATCTTGCATCTCAGGACTGTTGAGATGGTCCATCCTGATGTTTAGCAGAAACTTCAGGAATGGCTTGTTCTGATGAAGTGGGATAGCTGAAAAGAGGAGTGATAGGGAATTGTGCAGAAGCTCTCAGAAGTGGATATTTTTGTTTAGGAGGATAAATCAATGAAAATTGCCTTTTGCCCCCAAACTGGAACTGATGTCTAATCCCAAAGAACCAAAGCACGCGGCAACAAGGGCTGTAGCAATAGTCTGACCTCCCCCAGTTCCTTAATTTAAGAAGGGGTTATAGCAATCCCCTCTTTAAAAGAGGTGAAACTTAATGATAGGATAGTATTAGTAAGTCTGGGAAACAGAGGAGCATATAAATATAATGAGAATTTCCTGATACTCTGCCCAGTTCTAACCATTTTAGAATACTGTGTAGAGCTGTCTCCTTCTGTAGTTGTGCTTTCGTAGCTTCCAAGAGCAAATTTTCATATTAAATTAGCGTTTTTGAATCATCATTCGCTTGAGTGAACTTTAAACTGTAAAGTTGTTAGAAATCTGATAGTTTAAAATATTGAAAAAAATTGTCCAGTTCTACAACTTTCTAGCAGATTTTGCTTTTCTGTGCTAGAAATAACTGAAAACATACTGAGCAAAAAAACATACTGAGTCTAAAAGTGTAACAAGACCTAATGTTAGATTTACGTGCTTCTTTTTAAACTCTTTGTAAATATATGTTGAAAAATTGCAATAGCAACTGGCAAGGTAATATTTTAAAATGAATTACTAGGAAGGCAAAATGCATATTCAATATTTACTATTTAGCTATTGTTACTTAAGGAATGTCCCTTAGCCATAGTTGGCTGGTAAATCAGGATGTGAATAAGGAAAAAAAAAATAATAATAATACCTGCATTTCTGAAATTCTGTAGCAACTAGGCAGAATTCACATTTTGAAGAAAACCTATATACCTTGTGTCTATAGAGTCACCCTCAACAAATGAATAATCTGGATTTGCTTCCAGTGTTCATAACTGATGACTGTTTGCTCCTGGAACCTGAAAGTTTCTTTCCAAATATTGCTCAAACATGCACAGTTTTGACGCCAAAAGACAGTGCTGAATGTGCTTCTTGGTAATAGTGCTTTATGACCATTTTAGCAGTGTGCTCATAACATGCACTTAAGGAGTATAGTTAAAGACAGAATGTGTCAGAAGGAGGAATAGATAGTTTATGAAGATGACTTTTCAGGCACTGGAGTAATAGCATTTATATCACCACAAGCTTTTTCAAGTTCCTGTGGGTTATAGCGTTGTCTTCACTGGCTATAGAATCAGGCCCTAACCACAAATTTAGTGCAAGTTCCTAAATTTTAAGCCTGTGAATGCTTATGAATAAAGCCTATGAATAAAAGCTTATGAATAAAAGATTGTTAATCCTCTAATATTTATGCACAGTTCATTTACTTGAATAATAATTGTGTGTGATTAACCAGTGATGAGCTTAGACCATTAGACTGTATTAGTCACATATATAGGGCTGTGACAAAGTCACTGACAATAAGGAGGTTTCCATTGGCTTGGTCCTTTAGAAATATTATCAGAGCGACTTTGTTGTGCTATTGAGAGTGTATATATAGGTGAGGAGTTTTCAGCACTGCTGGGAGTCCAAAACAGGGTTTTGGATGATGGCTTGCTTGCCAACTTTGTGCTTACATGATGGTGCGTTATGCATGTGTAATGTGTGTGTTTGTATGTGTGTGGCTGTGCGTGTCTGTGCGTGTATATATATACAAATATATATACACACACATGCACACATGTACACATATGTTGCTTTTCCTTCAGTAGGCAATATTGTTTTTGTTTTGTTTCCTCATTAGACCACAGGTTTTGTTTAACTAATTTCTGTTTATGCAAAACTAAACAGAAGTATGCAAATATTTGACATTTCATGTGTAATCACAAACGTTTGCACCCTGCCTGCTCTGTTCAGGGCTATTTTAGTGATGCCTGGAATACGTTTGACTCCCTCATCGTTATTGGCAGCATAGTAGACGTCGTTCTCAGTGAAGCTGATGTGAGTATACCCCAGCTTACTTTCCTCAGTCCCTACTTCTCTTTCTCTGTCTCCCCACTATTTCCATCATCTGGACAAGTCACAGATTTTGATCTGATACCTCTAAACTTTGAATACAGACCAGTCATAGGTCAATTATGTTGATATGGGAAATAAATAGCCTTTTTCTCTACCAATTTCTTTTTAGCTATGAAAGGGAAAGATTGTGTAGTGGTACATCGGAGAAGCCTAGAATGTTTCTGTGTTATAACACTGTCCTTTTCTTCTCTTTTTCTGTTTGTGTTTTTCTCTTGCTCTCTTTCTGCTGAATGCTTGTCCTAACAGCACTATTTCACTGATGCATGGAACACTTTTGATGCCTTAATTGTTGTTGGTAGCGTCGTTGATATTGCTATAACAGAAGTTAATGTAAGTAGCAACTGTTCATGCACTAAAAAAGTAATTGCTGTCAACAGAAAATACAGAAAATGTAAATTTTATCCCCCAAACTCCTTTTTTTTTTTTTTGAAAGAAATCTGTTATATTCTGAAATCAAAGGCCAAATTGTTGGTATAGATGTTTATACAAGCAGTTTATTATAGATCAATATACACTTTATACGCCTACACACAGCATAGTGAAACAATGAAAAAGACATTTTTCTATAGACATATAGGAAATATTTTAAATTCATTTTATGTATAGAAGAGGAAATATTGGACCTTTGTTATCATTTTATTTGAAGTCCAGTGATTTCTTTAGGTAGCTTGACCCTGGTAATTCAAGCATAAAGTTATTTTAAAGGTTCAATTGTCTAATTTTTTTACCCTCCTGCAGGAAAACTGGATTTTAGCTTGATCGTTGCTTTCATGTCTTATGACATGTAGCAGAAAGTGTGCACAAAAAAAATAGGCTTTCCATACTGTGAAAAAAAAAAATTATTTTTTGTCTCGCTTTTCCCCCCCTGCAGTGAATGTTCTGACAGTTGATGTAGAATTGCTTTGAAAATTGCATCTTTTCACCAAAGTTCGTAGTAATATATTTACATGCTAGACATTTGGACAATGGCAAGATCCCTTTCCAAGAAACAAATAAGGAGACACTTAGTTTTGCTATTTTCTGCCTTGCTTGCTGGCTTTAACAAGGAGAACTCTATGATGAAAAGGATAAATGAAAGTTAGCAAAAAAAGAGAAGGGCAAGGTATTTAATATTTATTATTTATTATCCTCCCAAAATAACCTAAATATTAAATAAATAATATTCTCAGATGGTAGATATTTTTTATATAGGGGAAATATTGAAGAAAACATTCCCTACAACTCTTAGTAGGGGAATTCAGTTAAGTCCAGTCACTAGTAAATCCTATGTATTAAAAAACTCCTAGCAATGCAAGGAAGGAGTCCACAGAGTCTTAAGATTTTGATTCTAAACACATTTTATCCAAAAACAATAGAGGAAAGCCTCAACACTATGCCTACATTTCTGTAAAGCCTAACTAGAAAGTATGCAAAGACTGGTCACAAGCCTTTGTAAATTTTTAAAAGTTAAAGATCCAGATCCATCTTGTCATTAGCATTGTCATTTTATTGGAACAATTTCTCAGGAAAAAAACACATTTTAAAATTTGTTTTCCACAGTGCTTTGTGTCAGGAACCCAAATCCTAGGATCCTATCACTCCAGTCAAGAGCAGAAACAATAGCTTGTAATTCCCTTGGACACTGAGTTGTGCAGCTGTGAATTACGAGGATAATACTGGTGTCCCAAAACATGGAATAGGAATTGTAGCTGAATAGGCTGTGATCTGTTCCAAGCATTCCAGGATCAGAAAAGAAGAAAAAGGCAATACTCTTAAGATCTATCTAGAAGACAGTTCCAGGCTTTCAGTGCTTGGTTCAGATCAACAAACCTCATGACCAGAAGCTTGGATTTGTCAGGCTGATCTAGATTGAGGCTATGGTTTGATGAGGATTTCTTTTGGCATTTCTGTAAGTTTAAGCAGCCTTTACTTGCAGCCCTTCTGGCTACTGTGTTTCCACAAGCGTTTGTGGGGCTCTGGAGCTGGCTGGATCGGGGTACTGGCCGCAAGGTACTGGCACACGTGTGGGGCACGATGGGGCAAGAATGAGCGGACAAGGCGAGGAGGATGGGGCTGCTGCCAAAAGAAATACTTCTCATACTGTGCCCATACAGGTTTCCCTTCAGAGCCTTTTAACATTGGTCTGGACAACATCCATTACTTGCAGTAGCTGCTGTTGAGAAACAGTGATGTGAAGAGTTTTTAATCTTCTTGGGTTCTAGTCTGTTTGGTAAGCACAGTAATACATGTTACCAATATATTTAAACCCAATATGAAAAAGGTATATATTCTTTTAACAGGCTCTGACTTTTTTTTGAAGATGGCAAAATGCCTTCAAGTTTACACAGGTTACTAACTCTAAAGACTTCAGATTTCTTTATTCAGATGCAAATTTTGCAAACTGACAGTTCAATAAATAAATATGACCAAAACAATTGTAAGGCTGATTCACCTTAAAATTTCCTTCTGATTTTGTGTTAAACTGAGAATATCATGACTGTGTTACTGGAAAGAGTATTTGAGGAGAATATCACTTTCCCTAATAGCTGAAAAATATACCTCGTGGTGAAGGGATATTCCAGTTATGATACAAGATGTCCCTTCCCTTGGTCCTATACTTAACTGTATTTAAGTGTTGATTTGACAGCATTACTAGGAACTAACAACTGCAGAGCACTCAGCTATGAGGAACACTGTCTTTTTAGCAATTCACACAGTTGTCTTGAAGATATTCTGAAGATCCAAGTAGTGATCTTCAGCTAAAATATATACCACACTCTGGATTTTAGGTAACAAGAACTAACACTGTCATTTATTAGTTTTTCATGCTATAGTCGCTAGAGAAAAGACTCATCTTTGATGTTTGCTGGTACTGCACAGCAGATTCCTCTATTTGTGTACTAAATATTGTTCATTTCTGGTCTTTTCCAAGTTATTGTGCTTTGTTTGTATGAATCAACATTGTACCGTAGTTTCAATGTGTTCCTGGGCTTGCTTTCCCATTTTGAACATGAAATAGGGTATTCTTCAAACTGTTTAAGGAAATCTGTGGGTTTGCACATGACTTTTATTGTTTTGATTCTGTTGAATTATTCCTACATTGTTAGTTTTGTTCAAATTTGTACCATCCAAATTTGATATTTTAGAATCTGTTCTTTGACCTTCTAAAAGGTGCCATTCTACCTGTACTTTTTATCTAACAATAACAGCGGTCCTGGAAAATCCCACTAAGATGCTAACAAGGCCTTGTTTTCGATAGGATTTTAGGCACCATTGAAAGGGCACCTATGTGAATACCCACTATAGAAATGACTTAAACTGAGGATGCTCAGTCTTGTTTGAAAGTGGGATGATTTGAAACAATGTAAAGTGCTAGCACTAATGTAAAATCATATATTGTTGGACTTGTAATTGTACTGGTAGAGCCATCTAAGTTGATCAATGTAAATTAGAATTTAAAGAATGTAAATACTTAAAATAACCTACACAACTTTAAGATAAACTAAACATTCTTATAGGTTGGCATATAAAATTGCCTCATGGTGGAACCAATTAGACATTGTTCTGGTATTGTAGCTGTGTAACTTTAGACTATTTCCAATAGCCAGCAGGTTGCTCTCGTACCTATTGCATTTGTGTCTGACTTTTTTTTTTCCTCTCCTCAAGCAAATGGATTGGACTTTTTAATTACATATCAGTGTAATTTCAGTATTAAATCTAGGAAATTAAATGTCATCTCTTTATTTTCTTGTTTTATCCTTATTTTTATTTAAAGCTTTATAATAATGTATATGGTGCCCTGAGGCTGATTCTCCTGATCCAGTAACTTCCCATTTGCACAGTATCTAGGAAATTACTGTCCTTTGAATGTTCTCAAACTCCATGGAAGCCAATAGGTTTAATATGTTCAGCAATTTACAGGACTGCTCAGCATCCTGAAGGACTGGATCAATGACTTATTCCAAATAAATTCCACCTCAGTGCAACATGTATTGTTGACAGTGCATCATTTGCTATGACTGTTTTTTTTTTAATTTATTTACTCTGTCATTTAATATCCCTTCCTTTAACCAGTTCTTCTTTTCTGAACCTAATTGGTTTTCATGTTCATTTTATTTTTAGAAATTTTTAGAGGCAAGTATATACAAGTAAATACATATATGGTATAGCAATACAAAATTTAAAAGCACTACTAAAAACCATATAGTTACTTTTGCTTTTTGGTAACCATTTGTTTTCAGAGAGTTTCACATGACAATATCTTATGTGGTCATAAAAATGGTCATAAAACGGCTCCTTCCAAAAAAAAAACAGAGTAGTGATTGTGAGACAGAAGGTGTGGTCATTCTGGAACATTAAAGTATGTAATTTACAGATAAGAGGATGACAGATAAATAAATGAAATGAAATATGTAAATGAAAGACTTAAATGGAAATAGCAGAGGTTTCAATCTGGCCTATTCATGTTTGCTGAAAAGCCATTTGGATGACCAACAATGAATTACTTAACAGCATGATCACATTGTTACAGTAATAGATACAAAGGTTTTAATTCACTGTTTTTATTTTCATCTCTTTAACATTCATGTGCTGCCAAAATGTCAAGAAATGGCGAGTTCGTTTTCCTCCTCTTTAGTGTAAACATTTTATGCAGACCCCATGGGTCTCCTCTTATCTTGAAATTAAGTAAAACTCAAATTCTTTGCTGAAACAGAACTTAAAGGAACAGCACTGGTACTGTCTTCCTGAGTCCTCTGGAATATCAAATTGTCTTGAACTCACCATTGTAAGCACGAAAAAAATATTAAAAGCCTTTGCATCCATAACAACTAATATTGGTTAGTAGCAATGTGATAAATCAAAAATGTTTCTCAGAAAAAAGCAGAATTGGATCTTCTGTGACTTGATATGAAGAAGCACCATCGTTACCACCTCATCACTAGTACTGACTTGCAAACAGTGGGGCACAATTTTTTTAATTTTTTCCTTTTTTGGTTGGACAGCTAGGGCAGTGTACACTGGGATTTTTGTAACCTCCCACTTGCGCAGTAATTGGTGGCACAGTTCATGCTACTGCTTACATGGAGTACAGGCCCTCATTTCCACCTTCAGCGAGAGATTTTTGGGTTCCAGTTTTGAATAAAAACACTGCATTTGGTTTGGATCACACCTCATGCATCACTATCACCTGTTAGATCATGTGCTTTGTTGATACAAATTCATTTTTTTGTGAATACTGTGAATACATTTTACAGACTTCTGCAAATGTATCTTTTAAAACCTCAGGCCAGTTCAGAAAAAAATATTCTGCTTTAATTGGTGTCAAAGTATTGAATTGGAAATAGAGGTAAATTTCTGAGTTGCCTCCATGAAGGTATTGACAATTTAGTAATTTGATTATACAACTAAGGCAATGTTAGTAACCAAAATAATGTGCTATGTCATGTCATGAACATAATCTATTATCTCTTAATAGAGAGTACATCTCTTACTAGAAAAAATGCAATTTTTAAACTACTTTTGGGTACTCAATATCTTTTCAAAATTTGTATTAAATGATTTGTATGAGTATTTGATTCATATTGAGATGGAAATATAGAGAGCTGTCATTAGATTATGAAAAAGAATGCTTATTAGCACACTGAATTCCAGTAGTTATTCCCTGAGCAAATTGTGTATGTGTGCGCACATGCACACACACACACACACACACACACGTGTTTCTAAAGATATTTTGGCAACCTGAATATTCTCCCATCTATGTTGTTGTCATACTTGTCATTCGGATGTTTCCTTTATATTTGCAATCACAACTGCATCATTATTACATGTTAATTTGTCTTGGCATGTGCTAGTACCCTTTGGCACGATCTCTAGCAAGAAGGTTTTGATCAACACAGTACACTAATATCCACTGGTTTTGTACCATGCTTATTTTTTCTTAACCACAGAGCTTCTAATGCATGATGCAATCAGCTTGACACTGGTCACAGTTTTGACTTTTGGTGACTTTTTCCAAAGCTAGGACGTTTGTTTGGAACTTTGTTTTCATTGCAATGTGAGCAGTGTAACAATGAGCTATTGCTTAAGAAATGCCCAGATCACAGAAGGGTTGGGGTTGGCTAGGACTTTTGGAGATCATCTGGTCCAACCCCCTGCTCCAGTAGGGTCACTGAGAGCAGGTTGCCCAGGATTGTGTGAGGTGGCTTTTGAGCATCCCAAGGATGGAGACTCCACAACCTCTCCGGGCACCCTGCTCCAGTGCTCAGGCACTCCCACACTAAACAAGTGCTCTCTTGTGCTCGGGGGAACTTCCTCCGTTTCAGGTTGTGGCTGTTGCCTTTTGTCCTGTCACTGAGCACCTCTAAAAGAGTCCAGCCCCATCTTCTTTACATCCTTCTACAGCTATTTGGATGCATTGATAAGATCCTTCTAGGCCTTCTCTTTTCAGCCATCTTTTGGCCTCTACTCATAAGGAATGGTCATTACAGTAGCCCTTTGCTGGACTCATGGCAGTAGCTCCATGTCTTTTATATGCACATTTTTTTTTCGTGAGTGGCAATAAATACCTGATTGAGATTATTAGCAGCTTTTTAATGAAATCCTGCTATCATAATGCATACTGATTTTTGCATAGCCCCCCTTTGTGAATTTTTTTGAGAAAGAATTTGAGTTTAAATCTGTAGAAAAAAAGTTCTTATATATCCCCTTGCACACTGATATCCTTACACTCTTGCTCCTTTATTTGGGACCTAATGCTGCTTTAAAAGCTAGTGGAAAAATTCCTAAATGAAAAACCTATTGTTTTATTTCATCCTGATGATATCAGCATGTACTGATACTGTAACTTACCTTGTTTTCTTTGTATTCTTTCAAATACTACTTTTTTCTGTAACAAAAAGTAGTCAGTGCTAGTAAAGTCCCTTTGTTAAAACAGTATCTATCTCAGAGAGTGAGTTGCCAGAGATTAATGTGAAGCTTCATGCCAGATCTGCAGAAAGTAGAAATGAAACACTTTTTCCTTAAAAATTTCAGATAAAAAGCAATTATTTCTGCAGAATAATAATTTAAAAAACCAATAATAGTATGGGTCAGTATATTATAGTACAGGTTTGTGACTGATGCAAGTAAACAGCATTGTAAATTGTTTCCATGTGATATGTTTTTTTTGACATTTATGGTGTTTGTGATTATAAATTTCTCAATCTATGTTTTGATTTTTTTAAAATTGTTTAAATATTCAGAGAATTTCTAATGCAACAACTGTTATCAGTACCACCTATATTTGTAAGTTTCATAAAAATGCTTACAAAATTCAGATGTTATGACTGATTTTACAGATACTCTTACTGAAGTCTATTTGGAAGATCTGGGTTTTGATTATCATTAATGCAGCAATTCAGTCATAATCCCTTAAACAGTTTTAAACCCCTTCCTTCCCACCCTACAAATCACTGGAATTTTGACAGGGTATTAATATATGAATAAATTGCATTTAGTTGAACAAAGAGTACTTCTGACCTAGTGGTACATTTATGTTTTATATGTTTTCCAAAAAAAGTAATAGACAAAACAGTTTTTTAGGAAGCCCCCAGGTGCTACCTGGCACCGATATTGAAGATTTTACTCAGTAAAGGCTGACATAGAGAAATTGCCTCGTATAGTCAGCGTGTTGCATGCAGCACTGAGGGGAGCCTCAATATGTGACAAGAGTTGTTCAACAATGCTACTTTCAAAGGATGCTGCACATGTTTGAAGCAACAGACTTAGGCAAAACACTTGACTAGTGCTGTAAAGTTTTTAAGGACTTTCCCATTCAGTCTGGAGGAAGCTGCTGTGAATGGCTCGGTACACAAGGAGTGTAGACACTTGATCCTTTAACTCTGCTAGCTGCTTTGCCTGGGTGTCCAACTATTTTGTATGTTGAGGCAGTTTCTCCAAAGAAAGAGGGCAAACTTTGAAAAAGAAGTGAGGTTCACACAAGTACTTCATTTTAAAGGAGTTCCTCATGTAATATAAAATACACTTACTTGAATATGGGTTCTAGTGATAGAGTAATTAACCTAAGTAAATTAAGCACAGCAGTATCTAATTACCTAAGTAAATTAAGCACAGCAGTAAAGGAATCTTGAAAACTTAGTTTTATCTTAAGCTTTGTTCTTGAATCTTACTTAAGGCTTACTGCTACAATTTCCAACATTCAGCGAAAGTTACTAGCTAATTTTGATTGACTTACATGAGAGAGGGTATTTATTTTATATTTAGTCTACAATAAATCTTTCAAAGATGTCTTATGTTTGTAGAGTTTTGAATGAGTCAGCCAATAGTGTTTTATGATGAGTCAACAAACATGAAATGTTGAAGAGAAAGTTTTAATAGGAATATTGTTTTATTCAGAAAGTATATTGAGTTTAAGTTGTTCATTTACATTTAGAAATGAAAATGTCCTTCCTTTTTGTTTATAGTGAAGCTGATTTTTTGGTCTTTTATTTGATTTTAATATTTAATGTTCTTAATTTTTTAAAGCCAAAGCCAACTGAAACAGTCACAACTGATGAGTCTGGGGTAAGATTAGTAAATGGACCCCAGTGGTTTTACCTCTACTTGAGTTTATTCTTTTTACCATGTCTCTATTTTCCACCAATTTTTCTGTATTTTTCATAATTGTCTTACTAGAAAGGTGTATGCAGTGGTTTACATTTGTTGTCAATGTACTATTGAAGTCTACTACAAATGAACCCAACATGATCCTTATTAACAAACCAGAAAACTTGGAAATGCATGTGATGTGTGAAGCATTTCTACAGGTCTTGTGTTTTTAGCATGTAATTTTTCCCTTCATATCATGCTTATCAAGGTGAAAAGGCCCTCAAGATACATTTTCAAATCTTACCTCTTCCACCTTTGCATTTGATGTTGTTTTTCTGGAAGTGTTGCATGTTTGGGTTTGTATTTGGTTTGACTTCTCCATGATACTCTTCAGAACTCCGAAGACAGCGCTAGAATCTCCATCACTTTTTTCCGTCTCTTCCGGGTGATGAGGTTGGTGAAGCTGCTTAGCAGAGGAGAAGGAATCAGAACTTTACTGTGGACATTTATTAAGTCATTTCAGGTTAGTAAATTTCATTTACATTTGCTTCGGAATTGCAAGCATGTATGCATTACATTTTATGAAGCAAATAATATTTCTTTGGAAAGTAATGCTACACACAGTTAGACATTTAAAATAGCTTCACATGAATTCCTTAAGAAACATTACCGGTTGCTTCTGAGAGTCCAAGGGTCATGTAATATTACCATGATATTTTTACAGTACTCAACAAAGTTATTTTGTAAGTCTAAATAGGATTTTCTTTTAATTTAAAAGATGGGCTTTATACATGGAAGACATCTTGAATGGCTACAGAAGAAATTGAGAGGAATTTAATCTGATTTTATAAAAGTAATTTCATGAATATAGCAAACAGATCTTTGAATCCCTGCCCCTGACAACTCTAAAGAATGGGAAGTTAATGGAACTCTGTAACTGTATTGCAGGAAGTATTTCATATTGCCAGAATCAATACTAAAAATGAAATATAAAATTGCTGAAGAGGGCTCTTCCCACTGGATTCCTGACAGAAATAAATTAAAACATAATGGGGTTATAACGATAGCTCTTGCGTTAGTTATGTGTGGGAGAATATTAAGTATGACAGGCGATAATATTTTAAGCACTTGTTTAAAAGAAAAACCTTGGAAAAACCTCTGTTTCATAGAGAAATTATTTTTGTAAGTGGAAATGGAAGTTATGCTGTGAAAGTATTAAAGTACAATGAACCTGTCCCTTTCCTAGGCTCTGCCTTATGTTGCCCTTTTGATAGCCATGCTGTTCTTCATCTATGCTGTCATTGGAATGCAGGTAATTACTTTTTTAATCTTGAAAGTAAGCACAGTATATAAATGTGATATGTTAAAAAACAAATGTGCCCTTTGCAAGGAATTGCAATTGAATTTTAGAGATCTGAACTCACTTCCCAAGTCTGACTAGGATTAGGTGCTCAGACTCTCCGTGTTTGGCTTCCATCTTTATATCTCTTGTTTATTTAGATTCAAAGATTTCAGGAGAGTGATGGTAGATAATATCTTACTACAAGTATGCACAACACCTAGCATAGTGGGGCTCTAGTCTGAGTGGGCCGCTGTAGGTGCTAGTTTAAAACAAATACTATTTTCTTATCTTAAAATATAGGCTTGTGTATTATTATTATAATGGTTAAGTAGCAGTGGTGAATTTAAAGGCATAAAAATTGTCTTATAAATGTGATATACTTAATGCATTTGCATTACTCTAAGGAAAAAAATCCTAAAGAGAGTAGAAAGGATATTTGTGACAGTGTTTTTCCTACATACTGAAGTGAGGGTTACAGCATAAGACGCTCTAACTGACTGGGCTGAAAGTCAAATTTTTGTCTGTTTCTGTAGGTATTTGGAAAAGTGGCCATGAGGGACAACAATCAAATAAACAGAAACAACAATTTTCAGACTTTCCCTCAAGCTGTACTGCTTCTCTTCAGGTGAGCAAAGCTTAATGTTTTGCTTAATGCATCTCTTTTAATTGATCTATGGAAAAACACTGAAGCTTTTGCACCAAAAATTTGCTCAAAATGTATTTTCAAATTAGAAGCAATTTAATATAACAAGTACAGGATCTCTTCAGTTGTGTAGATACAGGTCATTGAGACAGTTGAATTCTAACCAGGTTATAGAGACCTAAAGTTGTAACAGTTATAGTGAAGCGTGTCATCTTTAGAGTAATTGTCATCAAACAGAACCCAGATATGGTCAGCTCTGATGTCACTGTGTGACTGTTAGGAAAAGTAAAAAAAAGACAGTGTGCTCACTTTATTCTTCATAAATACAGGCCAACTAGCTTTACAAATAGAAATGTGAAAGGTTGCTGGAAGAAAATAAGCTCTTTACATTTGCTGAAACTATGACAAGAAATAGTAGGTTTTACTTGCAGAAGGGGAATTTCAGAGAAGCAGTAAGAATAACTTTCTCCTAATAAGGGTAGCTAAGCTTTTATGTAGATAATCTTGGGAGATGATGGCATCTTCATCACCAAAGAATTTAAGAACAGAGTAAACATTTGCCAGGAGTGCTTCAAAATGCCCTGGATCAAGGAGAGGGAATGACCTAGGGCAGTAATGCCTCTAAAAGTGAGTATCTGGAGAACTCAATCTGCAGGGATTCTGTAACTCTGCTTGGTTCCTATGTGTTGTTGCTAGCCTATCCTAAGGAGGGATCCTCTTTTGCAGCAGATGTTTGGCAAGAACATCAAAAGATAGCAGATACAATTCAGGGCTATGTGGGGATACCAAAACCAGAAGTAAGTAGATGTGTTTGCATGGTGTAGTGCAGAGTACAGACTTCAAAAGCAGTACAGCTAACAGCATTAACAGTGTATGTATTTCTGGAGCTAGCCTATCTGAGACAGTTCTGTGCTCGGTTCCGTGAGTCATTTTGAATTTCTAGGATAGATTCCAAGGAGGACCAGGAGGAGGAAGAGGGACCTTTGTTCTGTCACACAACCTTCCCCATTACAGCTGAGTTGAGTAAAAACAGAAAAAGAAGAGAGTACGTTACCGAAAAGATGAACTGAGAATCCCACTGGTTCAACGTCTGTAGTCCACAACAATGATGCAGATTTTAGATATTGAAGACTGCTGACCTGTGGGATTCAGTCCTGAAAATGGAAGTAGTACTGGCTTTTTGTCTCTCATGGTGTTATGGTATAGCCAGAAGAGGGTGCAGTAGAAACCATCTCCTACCTCCGCTTATCTTGGTCTGGTTAACAAAACTGAAAGGTCATTCTTTCTCTCAGCCCAAGGGCGTCACCCAATGGGATCATTATGCTTATAGCCACAACTTTAGCCACAACTGAAATTAGGTAATGAACACAACCAAAAATGTCATAGGTGTGTGATTATTTGTAAAAATTCAAAATTATACGTCCTTGCACAAGCATTACTCAGCTATGCCAAAAGTGCAATAACAGAAATTAGGCAAGCTTTTCTCTAATCATGCAGAGGTGCCAGTAGGTACCAGCAGGTGCTTTTAACTTCTGTTTCATGTTTTTGTACATAACCATATGCCATAGCTATAAATATGTAATTTGAAAATGATGGTTTGGGGGTCAGTTTTTACATCTTTCTGGTGTGCCCTATGAAATGGATCTACAATGTCAAATCTAAGTTTATCATTTATGAAACATTTGCTGTACTTTTTTATTAGTACTAGCTCTCTGGAATTTACGATCTTGCTTTGTCCTTGTGCAGCAGCAAGCATTTTGTCAGAACCTAAGAAATCAATTCATCTTTAGTTCATTTTGAGGTAATAATACTTACTTTCTCTTTGTGACCTAAAGGTGTGCAACTGGAGAAGCCTGGCAGGAAATCATGCTGGCATGTTTGCCTGGAAAACGCTGTGATCCAGAATCTGATTATAATCCAGGGGAAGAATACACCTGTGGAAGCAATTTTGCCATAATTTATTTTATCAGTTTTTATATGCTTTGTGCGTTTTTGGTGAGTTCAGCTTGTGCTTATTAGAAGTGAGTTTTTAGCATTTTTTTTTTTTTGTCTGACTTAACAAAGTATTTGGGTGAGAAAATAATTTTAAGTCCCTTATTGAAATAATATCTTGCAGCGTTATATTTGTCATATGCATGCCTAAATCCCATAGCTCTTACTTATGTGCAAGATGTTCTTCTGGCTATGTACTTCCATGCATGCAGGAATGATTGTTTGCCCAATTGAAAGCTAATTTAACAGTATTTTCATCAACTATTGTTTCAGGTATTTTGCAATAGGATCATTAAATATTCATTAATAATAAACTTGTGGGTCCTTTGACTTATGGGTAATATTACTAGAATTCTTTAATCTTTATTAGAATTATTTAAACTTAGCCAAATTTGGATAGATGTATGTATCTATAAGTGTGTTCAAATTATGACACATGAGATGTGAACTTAAAAACTTTCTTCTTAATCTATGGCAGATGGATTATTTGTATGGAAATAGTCTTTGATATATGCTTTCCTCATCTCAAGTGCCTGGCGTAGGTTGGTTTATTTGTTCTACTCGCAGTACTCTTGTCCTTGCGAGAGGAGAGTGTTTGAAAAGAGTTCTGAACTACCCTAAGCATATGTGTTTTCTGTAAGATCTTTTCTGTTCTGTAAAATCTTTTATGTTAAAAAAGCATATGCAGAGGTCTTATTGGCATGGCATGGAATCCTGTTAATACAAAAGTTGTTTCCTAACTGTTGGATATATGTATTCATATCATTCAATATTTTAACTTAATGCAGTTTAGCCTAACAAATTCAGGAACAGAAACAAAATCATGTTATAGCCTCTGTCAGTGACTGAATGCTATATGACAGAATAATATTCTTGTCATGTAAGTACTTGGTAGAGGACTAGTTAGTTAAATGATCAGCAAATGTTTTCTGTGGTAATTGATAACATCTGCCAAAAAGCATTATTTATAAGATCATTTTATTTGATTGTTTGAATTCTAAACCTGCTGCTTTATGTTTTAGAATAGCTAAAATATTTGTACATGAAGAAAAAGAAGAGGAAGGTAAATCTGTGTTCTCACATGCTTTTTTTAGATTATCAATTTGTTTGTGGCTGTTATTATGGATAACTTTGATTATTTGACACGTGACTGGTCTATTTTGGGTCCCCATCATTTGGATGAGTTCAAAAGGATATGGTCAGAATATGATCCTGAAGCCAAGTAAGTTAGATCATTTCTCTGATAAAACTTTTGGTTTTAATGATAAAAGCAGAATATAGTGTGTTCTTTGGGAATGCATGTGTATTTAATAAATGGCATATATTGATTCTAGGGGAAGAATAAAACATCTTGATGTAGTGACATTACTAAGACGTATTCAGCCCCCACTTGGTTTTGGCAAATTATGTCCTCACCGAGTGGCCTGCAAGGTAGGTTCTGCTCTATTCCAGTTGTGAGTTTATTTCATAGTTTATAGAGGATCAAAAGGAAAGGAGGTGATCTGTAAATCTGCCGCTAATTCATTGTCAATGAATTGTCAATCCAGCATTGGTCCTGTGAGCCTCAGTGGTCTTTCTGGTTTCTCTTTGATCCTAGGGAGAAAAGGGGTAGTTTTTTACTTTAATTCACAATTACATTCTGATACAGTAATCAACCATGAGAATTTTGCTGCCATTTGCTGAGATTGAAGGATGGGATGGAAGACCTATCATTTTTTTGAAGAGTTGCAAGATTATTAGGTCTCTCACTGGGTGTTATTCTTTGGGCACATCAGCTTTGCGGAATGAACATAGCCATCAAAGTTAAATTTCCTTTTCTCATTTACAGAGGTTAGTAGCCATGAATATGCCACTGAACAGTGATGGAACCGTCATGTTCAATGCTACTTTGTTTGCTTTAGTTAGGACTGCTCTAAAGATCAAAACAGAAGGTAAGGTTCTTGCATGTGAAGTCTTCACTGCACTTGTCAAAAGGTGCATGAGAAGTTGTATTTTTTTTTTTTTTTTGGATTTGGTTTGCTTTTGGATTATGGATTGTCTTTACTGTTGCTGGGAATAGTTAATTAGAAAAGGAAGGGAAGAGAGACATTGATGCCAAAACCTAACTAATCTCAGAAATCATTCCATGCTTTTAACTGGCCAGGTAAAAACATTTAACAGTGGCAAAGCAGGAATTCTACTGAAAGGAGTGAATGGGGTTCCCTTTGAGTCCAGCCAAGATGCTGCTTCCTCACTGTGCTCTAGCTTGTTAGCTTGGGAGCCCAGTGTTAGTGGGTTAGGATGGCAGCTTTTCACACTTGAATGCTAAATTCCCTGTTTGACAGAGGCCAGTTCTTACCTAATTGGATAAACTTATTATTTACATCAAAGAGAGAAATTCTTTTTTTAAAAAAAATGCTATGTTTCAAAGAACTTAAGTTTCTGTCACTACATATTTCTTCATTATTTTACTCTCTTTTATTGCTCTGTTTCCTTTCTTCTATTCTCAGCAGATTGTGTGTTCCACAGCCAGTAACAAGCTGACTAGAACCGGTTTCCCAGATGTCTTTGTGGCTTAGGTGAAAGCTAAGCAAAGCAGAAAATATTTCCTCAATAGTTGGTTGCTAGAACTTGCAAGCCTATACTAGCTAATAATTAACTGTGGTTAAACAAATAATGACTTGGTTTGGGTTGGAAGCAGAATAGCTTACAAAGATCAAGTCACCACTTCATGCCCTATTTAGGGTGCAAATATTAAGCAATTACAAAGTAGAGTCAAGATTTGCAGCTAACTGTTGACTTCTGCAATCCTCCAGACAGGGGTGGTAATCTCATAGGTGCACACTTTCTTTTACTATTTCTTCCTTTAATTATTGTCATATTATTTCTGTATGTGTTTAGGTAGCTTAGGCTGCTGCAAAAAGTCCTTATCACAGCCTTTATTTCTATTCAGCTATTAATGTCCAAGGGATCATTACTGCATCTGGTTGAAACATAATTGCCATCCTCCATTTTTCTATTTCATTGCAACAGGTAACCTAGAGCAAGCAAATGAAGAACTTAGAGCAGTTATAAAGAAGATATGGAAGAAAACCAGCATGAAATTACTTGATCAAGTTGTCCCTCCAGCTGGCGGTGAGTGTGATACTTTGCAATGTGCGATTTTCTGTGCATTTTGGGCTTTACAGATGGTTAGGAATCAAAGAAATATAATTATTAAGATTTAAATTGTAATACCATTAAAAGACAACAAACAACAATAAATATAGAGAATGTTATATCCTGCCAGGTTAGATAATATATATAGGACTGATCAATGCAACTTTCTTAAATAAAAAGAGGAAGATATATTTTGTGTTTATTTGCTTGCTTGAAAAAAAAAGCCTTCTTACACCTACACTTACCCTTGTTTTGTACTAATTAAGCTTGACAATGTGCACCACATTTTAGCTTATATATATTGAATAATTCTGTGAGAAACCTAAAAAAAAAAAAACTTGCCAAATTAAAAATAACATTTTTGCTAAATCCTTAAAGCAAGAGACTACATTATTCCAGTTATACTAGTTTAAACCAGAGTAATTTCATTGCCAAAGGAAAATGGAATTAGTTCTGATTTATGCCAGTATGATTGAGATATAAATATGGCCCAAGTAAACAGATACTTAAATTCCAATGGTGTTAATATGTTTGCAAGAACTACAGGGCATGTATGTTACTCATTCTTACGTGCTGTAAAATGCAACATCAAATATTTGGTTATATCACTTTTAAAATATATATATATGTACACTAATGAATATATTTAGCCTATATACATTTTTATTAATATGCTGTAGTATAGATTTAAGTGACTGTTTTTTACTTGCTTCTTCAAGTTTTAAAGGTGCAGGATCTGTTGCATGGTGTCATCCACACCCAGGCTATATCTGCATACATAGCTCTCCAAGATGCCTATCCGTTGTAACCATCTGGTATTTTTTGTAGTTTATTGTACTTTTATAGTGTTACAGCAGCTTTCAAGACTGATCAGACTCAGGTCTGGAAGCAGACTCAAGATCCCAGGCCCGATGGTGGTGGAGGCTGCTCCCTTTCTGAAGGTGATGCTCTGAGTCTCTGGGGGAGAAGGAGCATGCTGGCTGCCCTGCTGCTCAGCATGCCCCGAGAAGCAGCATCAGCTTTGTCGCTGGGGGCAGCCCCTGGCTCCTGGTGTCGCTGCCAGCTCAGAGTGGGGGTGAAGACAAAAATCTAGCAAATTTGACTATCCAAAGGGGAACTGATACTGCACATTTAAAACAACTTTTTCTGTTCTACTCTGTTGTTTTAGCCTTACACCCAAGTGCTTGCATGGCATAGATGAACTGCTTTGTTAATGTTGTAACTATGTGCTTGAGCTTTTTCTGCAGCCTCTGTTCCTTTCAACTCTCAGTCTTTCCGAATATTCTGAAGCAATTCTGTTTTAGGGTGGTGGCATGGAATTAGTGTTGCCTCTTGCCAACTTCATTCCCCTACTTTTTTTATTGAAATAGAGATGCATGCTTCAGAATAGCAAGCTGTGCCTGCCTAAATCAATCTGACAGAATCGTTAAAGATTACATTCCTGGAATTAATCTTATATAATAACTCACCGTTAACTTCAGTTTCATTTTGCTGCTCAATATAAGCTGATTATTTACTTTCAGTTATACTAAAATTCATTGCTAATATTAATTCTGCAAATATAGCTCTCCAGTGTAGCTAGAAGTCTGAAAATCTGGACCATTGCTCAAATGATAGAAATAGTTGTTGCTTCAGTGGCCTAGTATAAGTAAGAACACATTGGAAAATGCTTAAGATTCATGAAATTTCTATTTCAGTTTGAATCTATTTCTCTGTAGACCTTGATATGACTTACCTCAAAATTGCAAGTATTTCATCTTATCTAAAACAAACAAACAAACAAAAAGCCCCACTACCATTTTAAATACATATGTCAGAGTTTCTACTGAAGCTTACTACTCAACAGAAAATTGTATACAACAATAACACAGGTATATAACCAGATAAGTAGAAATCTGCTATGAGACAGAAAACCGTCTTCAATAAAAATAAATAAACCATCCAAATTCAGTATACTAAAATCATTTGCACTTACAAGCTTTGAGCTGACTAGTGTGTAGTGGTTTTGTCCAGTATTACTTTTGCTGTGTTACTGAGCACTAGATCCTTCATGAGCTCATGACTATGCCTCAGAACAGAAACATATGCAGAGCAGAAGGAAAATAATCTTTACAGTATTTTTACTGAATTAAGGATACACGTACTAGAAATGAACAGTTTGCTAATTTTTTGGTATTGGTTAAGTAAGTCGTAACTGTAGTTAAATTGTTAATAGCAACAACTTCCCATTATAGAAAGCTGAAACTTCTTTTCAAAAGCAGAAAAAAAATGTGGGTAAAATGTGTGAATGTCTGAAAGAGTTAGTGATTTTAGAAGAATACAGAGTAAGAGAATTTCATACCACCAACTAAAGATTCACCTGCTTTCTCTTCTCTAAATTTCCCAGTCTCTGCCTGCCAGCCCATTTAGTCCTGTCTAATACTTTTTGCCCTCATCTGAAAACTTCCTACTGAAATGATTCCTTTTGCTGCCACTAGTTGTAGTTAAAGATCTGTCTATACTGTGATCAGTTCTGCTTAGCTGCCTCCCTATCTGTCCATGTCTGGCTATGTGTGTGTTACTCAAAAAACTAAGTCTAGCTCCCTTGACCAAGCTTCAGTTCCTGTGTGCACGTGTCTGCAGTACAACTGACTGTGCCTGTGAAGCACACGTGCTTCTTGTTGGGGCATTCAGACCTTGGTGTGCACAATTCAGGAAAGTGGAACTGCGTTCATCTAATATGATAATAAAAGAGATGGTGCATGTCCACAGTGATCAAGAAGGGACCTTCATTTATGCACACTGAAATTTTGCAGGTATTGTCATCTCAGGTACAGTCAGTAGTCATGCGACATCATAGCCTGACTTGAGACATGCTCTCAGTGCAACCCATAGTATTCGTTTTATCAAGTCTGTCACTTCTGTGTGCTTGTTCTTTCTAGGAGCAATTTGCTATATCACTTCCTGAAAAGTTTGTTTTGAATACTTCAAAAAGAAAATAAAATAAAGGATGGGGAAAGACTTTTTTTTTTGACCAAGAATACATTGCAAAAATCAGTGGATTTGGTTAAGCTAAGGAAAATAGGCAGAGATTAGATTCTGTGTAAAAGAGATCTTCCTGATAAAAAAGAGCCATTAGTGTCCTGAGCAGCTGCCAAGAGAGATTACAGAGAGATTACATCAAAGAGAATGCTCACCAAAAGGTTAAAAATTAGATTTGAGGAGTCAGTTAGAAAGCTTTCTAGTGGTGAGACTGAGTCTGCACAAGAAAAGCACTGAGCTTTCCTTGTGGGCTCTTTAACCCCTGCTACTTCCCGGGGGAGCTGGGGAGACCAAGACCTGTGATACTTCTGTAAGTATTTGTCAAGCAGACTTCTTAATGCCAGAAATAATTTTCTGTATTGGATTGGTCTCCCAATTAAGATATTTTAAGACAATTATCATAATTCTTTTTGCTTTGATATGTTTAAAGACAAATAAAATACAATGCTGGGAGACTCCATCTCCATTTTTACTGAAGCTAAATGCTGTCATGCTTCCTCAGATGAATAGAACCCACTTCAAATATTAGACTGAAAAACATCCCATGAACTGAAGAGAGATTATTTGGAATGGTAGAGGATCCATTGTGAAACAGATTTTGTCATGGAGATACAATGAAGTTTAAGCAGTAATGCACTTAGATTGGATTTCCCCATCCTTTTTATTGCCATGAAAGCAGAACCTGAAAATGAAGTTTTATAGTAATCATTATTAAAAGAAGAAAGTTAATTAAATTTAAATTAGCAAAAACTGTTATGTTGCTGGTAAAAATATTAAAAATGCTGTTGTAAGTGAGACACAGTGGAACATATCATGGGTAAAGCAAAGACATAGGAGGCCCTTTTTTATCAACTGTTACTGTATGATGTGTTACTCTATAATACTCTATATTATAATCAGTCAGAGAATTTACTTACATCACCAGTACTATGAAAGGCAAGGCAGTAATAATTTTAAGCCTAGAGTACACCTGATGGTAAGCAAGAATTCAGTTAGCTAAAACAAAGAAAAGCTTGCTTAAGAGATGTTCATGTGTTTTTTTTTTAAAAAAAGCTCTCTATTAAAGTTTCATTAGTTAGTTCAAATAAAGATAAAGAAAATGGCATAAAACTAAAAGAAAATAGTGTAGTTTCTATCAAAAGAATGTATTAGTTTTTCTGTATTTGCCCTAATAAGTCTCAACAATACAATGTGACCCAGAAATGTACTAAGCACCTGTCTGTCACAGCAAGGAGAAGCGGAATGACAGGACTGTATTATCCGTCAGGATACGGGCCCTAACAACGGGGTGAGCGCAGACACCTAGAGCACAGCAATTTCTTCAGCTTCCACTAGGGAACAAGTAACCGCGTTGCAAATAGCTACGGCAGTGTGGTACTGACATGAAGAGACTAGGCAACACAGCAGAGAGTGAAAAAGCTGACTTCGTGCAAGATAGCTTTAGGGGAATAGAGCGTGTGAAAATAAAAGCAATGTTTTTGAAAGGAAAACTGCTCCTGGTTTTCTGGCAAGCATTATTCCTGTCAAAGTCCCTCCGGTACAGCTGAATAGCAAACGGGACACACAAAACAGGCACCTATGTACTATGAACCAGGGGATTTCAATATCCTCCTATGGTAACTGTCTTTAAACTTCAAAAACTTAGATATTTGTATTTTGTTCATAGAAGTAACTCTGTAAAAAAAAGAAAAAGTGCTGGTCTTTACACGTTGTTTGTGTGTATTGTGACTTAAACCAAATTAACTGACAGAAGTTGTTTTCATTTCTGTGAGCATTTCAGAGCTGATAAAATACAATTATGTGGGAAATTGCCATGTCTATTTTGTATTTCCTGTTATCATCATCATCTCTCTAGAAAGTAACTAAGGACTAAATCTTCAGTCAAATTAGAAGCTCACAAAAACATGTGAAATTGTAAAGGCTATGGGATTTGCTTCAGAACTGAGTCTAGAATCTCTGTTATTTGATGACAATAAGGTAATTGAAGATACTAGCCCAGCATGAGTGTCTGAGACACAGAGCAAATTTGATCTGAAAGATGCTCAGGTATTATTGTGAGGGTATGACACCGATACAAAAACTTTAAAGTGGAAAAGACCATAAAGATGGCAAGATCTTGTGTGATAAGAGTGCTGGCTCAGAAAATTTGGTTTAGTAGGAAAATAAAGCAAGGAAGGTTTGGTTTAGTAGTAAAATATTTTGCAAGCAGGGCTGCTTTTTTTTTTGCCTTTTTCTTTTTCTCCTCTTTTTTTTTTTTTTTCCAGAGTCACTCCTATGAACATTAGTACATACAAGTCACAGTAGTTCTGATGCTAATCCAGTTGCTCCCAGTAACTAAAGACAGTAGTTCATCTTTTACGCATATACAAACTTGTTCCTGGTTTTATTAAAAACTTAAATGAGCTTACTTGGAGGTACGTGAAACTTGGTGAAGTGTTATGTTCATGGTCACTTAGCTGACTGAGCCTAAAGCGCTTGCTAAAACATTGCTTTAAGCTAGCGGCAGGTCCATTTATTGTAAGTTGAAAGCGAAGTGCCTAGTGCACCATCACATTTTCTGCCCCCAAATCAGATATGAGTGTACAGGCTATTGAAAAATGCGCTGACTTGGGAGAGATCTGTCTGGTCTGTTCATTTAGATGATGAGGTAACCGTGGGGAAGTTCTATGCCACCTTCCTGATACAGGACTACTTTAGGAAATTCAAGAAACGCAAAGAACAAGGACTGGTGGGGAAATATCCTGCGAAGAATACCACGATTGCTCTGCAGGTGATTTTGTTTTTACTTTTTAACTAACCATTTTATGAGCTTGCTTGCAATAGCAGGGAGATGAATATTCATGATTGTGCAGTGCTGCCAGGATTTTACTTAACTGGGACACATTTGGCCCTATTCATCAGAAAAGTAAAAAGTAATTCTGCTTTCAATCTTTGACAAGGTAAGTGCAAAAAGTTAATTTTTGTGGATTCCTCAAACTGTAGCAACAATTACAGCATTTTTTTTCAGCAGAACTTCACAGTTTAATGCTGCTCGTACAAAATCAGATAAAATAAATACTTCAGAGCTGTTGTTTCTCTTTTATGTTAGTTGTTTGATTTCTTGTGTTCTTACAATTTTAAGTCCATTCTCAGTTGCAAAGATTTTGTAATATGCATGCATTGCCTCATAATAGAGGTTTTTATGTGGAGTATTTTTTCTCCGTGTTTTTTCTTTCTTTCTTTTTTTTCCCTCTCTTTCATAATTACTTGTAAGATATCTTCCTTTAGTATTTTTTAATGTTTGCACATTTTGTACTTCATTTTCATCATTTTCTACCTTTTAGAAGTAACATTAGCACCTACATTGATGTCCTTTGCTGTCTTTTAAAACAAGCTATCAAATGGAAACAGTCACAATTGATAGTATTACTTGGTTCTCTACCTCTCATCAGTCCTGCAGCAATTGGTCCATAGAGCATAAGTGTTTCGTGGATTATATTCTGAAAATTGCTATCCTCTGATATCCTTTGTGTTATGAACTTTGAAACAGGTGAATGGAAGGCTATTGTCAAATAATTCCAGACATCATACACTGCACCTTTTGTATTGGATTAGGACTTTCTGAATTTCACTTGACACTGAGTAGATTTCTACAAGTAGTAAACGTATTTGATGTTTCTGATAGCTTTTTTTTTCTTTTAATGTCAAAAGTTAGGAGAATGTTATGGAGCGTTTTCTAAATGGATAGAACCTGGTTATGACAGGAATATGTCATCCTGATTCAGAAGGTTTTTTTTTTGGTTAAGAAAGTTACTGGTTTGTACTTGTATCCAATGGCTATTCATTTCGTTCATATTTCTAGGAATGTGTCTGTTCCAAACCCCAAAACCTTCTGTTCCACCCCTCCATAAGCATAAGACATGCAATAGGAAGAGAAAAATTCTTTACGGTATTGATGTGTGGGTGAGTGGCTTTCCAGCCTAGTGTGAGCTGTATTTGTATATCAGAAAAGAAACATTATGGGGACTAAAAGTGATAAAAAGAAAAAGAGACTAGAAACAAGAGTTGAGAAGACAGTGAAAGACACCAGAGACTTGTAGGAACTTTGCAACCTCTGTCATTCTTATTTGAGAAGCATTTGATAAAAAGGAGCTCAGAGTAAGTTTTAAGCCACAGCATTATGGTTTTCCACTTGTGTTTTCTAAGTTGCACATGTAACAGTATAGAAACAAACACTAAGTTTCCAAACGTGGGAATGTGCTCAGTTGTTTATTATCAGTTCCTGCTCCCCATTCCATACTGAATGGAAAAATGAAATTGGGATAAATTAGGTCTTCTTTTGATAAATGTTTCTCAGTTCACAAGAGCTAAAAATTTGGCCCTGAAGACCGGTATTTAGTTTTTGCTGATTCAAACAGTACTCCCATGGTAATGAAATGATCCAGGGTGGTGGATGGGAGATCCTTGCCCTCTTTTTCTCCCTTTCGCTTTGTTCTACCTTTGTTTTTTAAACAAACATTTGTTTTTTTGAACTAACATGTAGTCATTCAATCTGATTTACCAAATAAAAATATAAATACTATTTCAAAACACCTAGGAGTATATTTGGGGGAAAGCCCTTTCTTAATAGCTTTCATTACAGCATATAAAAGAGTAATACAGTTCAATGCTGAAAGCTACAGCAACTCAAATTCCAAGTCAAAATGCTGTGTATGTTGGATTAATTAATTCTATGAGGATGCAGATAAACGTCAGGTCTGGGTGTCCTTCTAAAAGGCCTGTTCTACTTCAAAGAGGAATTGATTTCTCTTGAGCAGTGCCTCCTAGAGCAGTTCTACGGGACTTATTACAAAAAAATAGCACAAGTGATTCCTTTTAGGCTATTAATGCATAAAAAAGTCTCTTCATTTTCAGTCTCAGATCTGCTTTTTCCAAAATTTATATCAAAATCTAATATTTTCAAAAAACTATGTCCATAATTATACCTTTGGCAGCATAATTTATGGATATGCCATTGTCATCAAATTTGTTTTTTCAACTATAAAGATTTTGTTGGATGTTTGTTTGGAGGATGTTATTTCTCTGTAAAGAACTGAAAGCAGCTATTTTATTTTCACAAATGCCCACTCTCCTTTCTAAAGAAAACATGTTCCTATCAAGGAAATCTGTTGGTAAACATGGGACTTGTTTATGCAAGTAATTATGATTAGTGATGCCGTGGACTCCTGACACATGGGCACTCTCTTTTCAAAATAAGAATGGTGTATTCTGTATCAGTACACTCAATCAATGAACACTCTTTAGTGAGAATAAAAGTGTCTGCAAATGGTGTTATTTGATAGGGAATGGCTGTTTTGTTTTAAAATCATTTAAAATTTTCATTTAATCTAAAGTAATGTATCCATGTAATAACACTAGTAAAACTCTATAGTCACTGTTTTAAAATTCCTGAGTTCTATTCTTCAGATTTTTCTCATCATTTTCAGGGCTGTCTGCAGTTTGCAGTATGTGTGAGTCACCTGGTGTAGTGGCTTTTCACCAACATCTTGTGAACTGCTTCTAATGGACACGTATGTAGGTAGTTGTAAACATACCAGCATAATGTGGATACAGAGCACAGCTCCCACTCCTTTGTAAGGGATAGTAAGCATGTATCTGCTTTCATAAAATCTACCTTTTTCTTAAGCTTCTTAGAAATAAGGGCTTTTTACTTGTCTTCCCATTGTAAGAATTTTTGCTATTTAGGATTTATAAATGACGTTAAGTAAAAGTAATATCTAAACAATGGTCGCAAACTATGTGTTAGAAAACTGAGGGGAGCACTGAGATGACCTACTGATTAGGAATGCCCAGGTTGCCAGAGCTCTGCTGTGTTCTCTAATAATAGTAACTGCTATGCATGACTAACCAGTGAAATTTGCAGGAGAATTTACTTTTTTTGCTATCAGAAGGCTTCTGAGACAGCCTGTATAGTTGCCTAACGTGTTCAAGCTGCTGTGCCTGTTTTTTTGCTATTGAACTCGATCTCAGTATTTTATGAAGAAACTAATATTCATCCTTTTCTAGCTGGATAAGATTAGTCTCTCTTCATCTTCCCTTACAAAAGCAGATGAGTAAAGCTAATTCATGAACACTGATAATTTGCAAACATGTCATCTTAAGCAAGCGGACTCATCTTTAACCTCCTAAGAGGAATCTAAGATGCAGCATTTTTTGGCAGACAGTATTGAGAAATCACTAGCCTAGGAGTGGTTCTTGATAACTTTTCATTTACAGCGAAAGCAGACAAAACTAGTTGTAAAAGCATTATTCAGAAGCCAATTGCTATACCTCCATTCACATCAGTTGAGCTGATGTATATGTGCTATGAATTGATCCTATAGCCACAGTAAAACCTCAACCTTTCTGCACCGCCTCGCAAGTAGAAAATGCTGGATATGTATGTCCAAAATAAATATATGTAAGGAAAAATTTATTCACAGTGAAGGTAACAGAGCACTGGAACAGGCTGCCCCGAGAGGTTGTAGAGTCTCCTTCTCTGGAGATCTTCCAAACCCGCTTGGACGCAGTCCTGTGCCACGTGCTCTAGGTGACCCTGCGTGTGCAGAGGGGTTGGACTAGATGATCTCTAGAGGTCCCTTCCAACCTTAAGCATTCTATGATTCTATGAATTTCTTTGCTAGAATAAAATAACTTGGTAAATCTTCTTAGAGCATCTTTTTTGATTGCAGAAATAGAGCTCTTACTGAATGACGGCTATGCTATTTCTTCTAATTTTAAAGAAAGCTTCTGAGTCCAGCCTTAAAGGGCTGGCATCTCTGCCTGCCCTGTGTATCTCTAGATTTTTAGCTATCAGTTAAACAAATAGAATTCTCATATTAATGCCTTGAGCACATCTATTTTCTGGGGGAATTTAATTTCAGTGTTGGCTAGACCTCTGGGAAATACTGTCCATAGCCTGGGAAGAGTGGGTCAAGAGGAAAAGAAATTACTTACTCGTGGAGAATTCATAGAAGAGGATCTAGACGCAGTTTAAATCTTCAGTTGTGGTTAGTTACTCTGGCATTAAGGATTAGAGTCAATAGTCAGCAGGCACTAAATAGAGCTGGAAGTTATAGCTTTTTCACTTTATGGGTTCCTCACTCTATTTCACTTACTTAGATAGGCTTTTTGAAAAGATGATGAACAATAAGAGGATTTTCATGGAACTGTTATTCGGAGACTCTGGCTAAAAACACCAGTCTGAGGTCTGAACTTCATGGTGCTGGCGTGTGGGGTTGGTATGTGGCACTGCACCAAGGGCAAGCAGTTGTGCACCGAGCAGCTATTGAATACTGCTGCTACCCACTACTAAACATGAAGAGTCATGTAGCACCTTGCAGCTGAGACTTTTCAGAAAGCTTATCGATAGGATCTGTAACTACTAGGTGAGCTATATTTTCACATTCTTGTGAACCCTTCACTCTCTTGCAGACCGCTTGTCTTGTTGCAAGATCATTAAACTACTGAGCAGATAAGAAACACCATCACCTGTTCCAGCTTGTGGCCAAAGTTATACAAGCAATCAATATTCTTGTACTTCTGCTGCCATCAGTAGTTTTTCACTCGGGACAGCTGGAAGGAGCCCACAAAACCAATTAATAGTTAAGAACATGCTTCCTAAGAATGTCATAAATCCTGCAGTCACTGAATTATCTAATCTGGCCTTATCTCATTTTTGTTGCAGGAAAGGGAGAAAACAGCATGCTATCAAGCTTTATAACACATTCCTAACCATTAAATGGTACAAGA